TGAGTGGAGGCCCAATGGGGACGGATCTTTTAACAACAATCTTTGTGTTTCTTTACCATTAAAAAAATAAGAATAAATAAATAAAATAAGAGTAAAAGGTTTGTTTCTATATTTTATTTCCTTCCCTCATGTGCAGTGCCCCTTCTTTGTTGCTGCTGCCATTGTTCAGGGGCACGGAGTCAGTTCCCACCCACAGTGATCCGATGCACAACAGAACGAAACAAACACTGGCCAGTCTGGAGTCACAATCGTTCCTATGCCACAGCCCAGTGTTGGTCACTTCGTCTCCTTGAGGTTCTTCTTTTTTGCTGCCTCTCCATTTTACCAAGCATGCTGTCCTTCTCCAGGGACGCGTCACCTCCCAACAACCTACCCACTGTATGTAAGAGTCGTGCCAGCCTTGCCTCTGAGGAGCACTTTGGCTGTACTTGGCTCACGACAGAGTTGCTTATCCTCGTGGCAGTCAGTGGTACTTCCCGTGTTCTTTGCCAGCACCTCTTCTCTGTCAGTTTGTCATATTGTGGGGGCTTTTGGGTTGCCGTGATGCTGGAAGCTATGTCATTGGTATTTCAAAGGCCAGCAGGGTCAGTGGAGCTTCCAGACTGAGAACAGACTGCGAAGAAGGACTTGTCTGCCCACTTGAGAGGAAAGAGCTGATGACAACTTACGCACAGCCTGGAAACACTGTCAGCTACTGAAGGGTCCTTCTCCAGGGCAGCTTAATTTGCAAGCCTGGCCTTGAAATATAACATGGGCCCTGTGTCTGTCCTTGGAATTTCGTGTCTCAAATCCATTTCTGTCCAACTTTCCATCATTTCCTCCAAATACAGTTATCCATTCCCAATCCTTTCTTAAAACAATGATTTTAAAATAAAAAGATTTTAAGCAAAATAATAAATACATTAGGGAAATTTATGGAATTTAAGAAGAATCACACGTCAGCAAATTTTTCAAATATTTTTTAAACAGGAAAAATCCATTTCTTATCGAACTGAAAAATACTGGGAAATGTCTCAATGGAAACATATGGAAATACAACCAAACACAAGCTGATTCTTCTCACTTTGGTAAAAGTGAGCTGATAGAGAAGCAGGTAATATGGCACTACGAAAGAAAAACCCCAGTTCCCTCCACCATTTTAGGATTAAACAACAGAGGCTGAGTTAACAACAGAGG